ATAGTAATCCTCAGCCTCCTGAGTAGCTAGGATTATAGGCGTGAGCAACCGACTCCTGACTAGAAAATCTTTTTTTTTTTTTTTTTTTCCTTGGGTCTGGTCATGTGGCCTGAACTCTGGGCCTGGGCGCTGTCCCTCAGTTCTTCAGCTTAAGGCTAGCGCTCTACCACTTGAGCCACAGCGCCACTTCCGGCTTTTTTCTTTTTGCTTATGTGATGCTGAGGAAAGGAACCCAGGGCCTCATGCATGCAAGGCAAGTGCTCTTCTGCTGAGCCACCTTCCCAGCCCGTGGACTTGGGTCTTGAACTCTGGGACTGGATGCTGTCCCTCAGCTCTTCAGCTCAAGGCTAGCGCTCTACCACTTGAGCCACAGCGCCACTTCTGGTTTTCTGGTGGTTAATTGGAGATAAGAGTCTTACAGACTTTCTTACCTGGGCTGGTTTTGAACTGTGATCCTCAGATCTTAGCCTCCTGAGTAGCTAGGATTACAGGTGTGAGCCACTGGCACCCTGCTTAGAAAATCGTGTTTTTAAACAGGGTCAAACCAAGACCTTGTACATCCTAGACAAGTGCTCTACCACTTGAGTCATGCCTCTAGTTCAATTGTAAATTCATTTTGAAGCCTTCACACATGTATATAATGTATATGTATGTGTTATATTGACTTCCTCATTAGCTAACATAACTTGTGCATTTTGCCTGATTATAAAGGTACACATGATTAGTGGTAGAAACTTTGGAAAAAGCAGAGAAATAGATGATTCACAATTGCTAGTGTGTTCATCCAGCAGGGTTTGGAGCTTTTAATGTTGTCAGGGACTGGAGCAGTCGGTGTTTGCACCAAGGGCCAGGCAGCTAGCAGGAAGACAAGTGGCCTTCTTCCTCCAGCCATCTTTTTTTTTTTTTTTTTTGTGGGTCATGGAGTTTGAACTCTGGGCCTGGACGCTGTCCCTCAGCTCTTGAGCTCAAGGCAAGCACTCTTCCACTTGAGCCACAGCACCACTTCCGGTTTTTTGGTGGTTTATTGGAGATAAGAGTCTCATGGAAGCCGGGTGCCAGTGACTCATGCCTGTAATCCTAGCTACTCAGGAGGCTGAGATCTGAGGATGGAGGTTCAGACATCATTCTTTGCTTGGGTATCTCTGCTTTCAGTACATAGGCCCTGCTCTGCCTGAGTACTGGATTCTTTTCTTTCTTTCTTTTTTTTTTTTAATTGTGAAAATACCATACGAGGGGTTACAATTACATGGGCAAGATAATGAGTACATTTCTTTTTAATATATTTTTATTGTGAAAATACTGTACACAGGGGTTACAATTACGTGGGTAAGATAATGAGCACATTTCTTATCAAGCATTGTAGCCTCCTCCTTTGTTTCCCCTTCCTGTCCCTTCGTATCCACCCCCCCCCACCAAAGTTGTAAAGTTCGTTTTTCGACTTAACGATTTGTACATCTCATTGTTGCTTGAGTACATTTCTTATCAAGCATGTTGCCTCCTCCTTTGTTTCCCCTTCCCATCCCTTCCCATACTCCCTTGCCTCTTCCCCCGCCCCCCTCCGCCCCCTGGATTATTTTCTGTACTCCATGTATATGTAACTTCTAGGGAGGAAAAGTTCTATAGATAAAATGAGAAGATAATCTGTAGCTAGATTTTTTTTTTTTTTTTTTGCCAGTCATAGGGCCTGAACTCTGGGTCTGGGCACTGTCCCTCAGCTCTTCAGCTCAAGGCTAGCACTCTACCACTTGAGCCACAGTGCCACTTCCGGTTTTTCTTTTTGTTTATGTGGTGCTGAGGAATCGAACCCAGGGCCTCAGGCATGCAAGGCAAGCACTCTACCACTAAGACATGTTCTCAGCCGCATAATCTATATTCTTAACTCTAGAAAGAATTAAAGCTAGTGGCAGGGCTAGGGATGTAGCTCAGCTTTGTAGTGGAGCACTTACCCTACGTTTGATGCCCAGGACTATTAAAAAAAAAAAAGTAGAACCTAGCAACTAAGAAGGCTCTGCTTCTCTGTGTTACTTGTTCCTGTTAATGTAGTACATAGAATTTGAACTAAAGTCTATATAGCTGTGACTCAAATGGTGGAGATTTGTTCTCTCTCCTGGAAGAAGGAATAGAAGGAGAGAGGGAGGGAGAGAAGGAGGGAGGCTGGGAGGCTGCTGGTATGGAAGCGCTCTGTATCATGTCCTGTCCAGTCCCTGTGACTTCAACAAGGACTCCTCACTGACCCCTAGCGCCCCGTACACTAGAAGAAGGAAGAAAGAAGGGCCATGGAGCCATTTCCTCCAGGAGCATCCCAGAGTCATCTGTATCAATTTCTCCTGGGGAAACGTCAATTTCCTGGCCACACTTAGCTGCAGATGCCTTGGAAAGTGGTGGCTGTGTCCTATAGGACTGGAGATTACCGTGGAGGGGACAATTAGGTTTGCCACAGTGGGTACTTTGCTTAGATGAAGCTGCTAGTTGGGACTCAGCACATAAAATGTTTTAAAACCAAGTATTTTGGCTGGGAATGTGGCTTAGCAGTAGAGTGCTTGCCTAGCATGCATGAACCCCTGGGTTCCATTCCTCTGTACCACATAAACAGAAAAGGCTGGAAGTGACGCTGTGACTCAAGTGGTAGAGTGCTATCTTGAGCACAGAGAGGTTCAAGAACAGTGCCCAGGTTCTGAGTTCAGGATCTGGGACTGGCCAAAAATTACCCCACAAAAAAACGAAAAACAAATATTTTGAAATATTTGAAAATATTTTGTCTGTTTACAAGACTGAGATCTGAGGATTGTTGTTTGAAGCCAATCCTACAGACAAATATTTACCTCCATTTAACCAGCAAAAAGCTAGGAATGGAGATATGATTCAAGTTATAGAGTGCTGGTCTTGAGTGAAAAAGCCAAGCTAGAACTTCAGGCCCAGAGTTCAAGCCTCTGGACCAGCTGTGAGTGAAAAAGGCCAAGCATGAATCCAGAGTTCAAGCCCTGATACTGACATACAAACAATGAAGTGGAGATGAAAGAGAGTACTTTTTTTTCTTTTTCTTTTTTTGTGCCAGTTCTGGAGTTTGAACTTGGGCCCTGAGCACTGTATCTCAGCTCTCCAGCTCAAGTTAAATGCTCTACCACTTGAGCCACAGTGTCACTTCCAGTTTTTTGGTGGTTAATTGGAGATTAGAGTCTCATGGACTTTCCTGCCCAGACTGGCTTTGAACTGTGATCCTCAGATCTCAGCCTCCTGAATAGCTAGGATTACAGATGTGAGCCACTGGCATCTGGCCTGTCCCTCAACTTTTGTGCTCAAGGTTAGTGCTCTGCCACTTTGAGCCACAGTTCCATTTTCAAGCTTTTTGGGCATAGTTAATTGGAGATAAGAGCATCATGGGCTAGGTGCCAGTGGCTCATGCCTGTAATCCTAGCAACTTAGGAGGCTGAGATCTGAGGTTCACCTTTTGAAGCCAGCCTTGGCAGGAAAGTCTATGAGACTCTTATCACCAATAAACTACCCAGAAAAAGCCAGAAGTGGCACTGTAGCTCAAGTGGTAGAGCATTAGCCTTGAGCACAAAGAGGCTCAGTGACAGTGCCCAGGCCCTAAGTTCAAGCCCTAGGACTAGCAAAAGAAAACAAAAAGAGTATCATGGAGTTTCTGGCTGGCTGGCTTTGAACCACAATCCTCAGTAACCCAGGATAAAGGTATGAGCCACCAGCACCCGGCTGAATTTTTTTCTTTTTCTTTTCACCAGAACTAGGTTCCTGCGTGCCATTTATGTGGAAGAAGAAGCTAGAGCTAGTGGGCGAGTGGGTCATTAAGTGGTTTTTAGTGAAGAATATTTTCTTCTGCTTTTGTCTTGGGCTTTCAAGTTCAAATTCAAGTACTTAATTCAAAGTTGCATGCAAATATTTACTTTTCTTTTGTTCTTAATTTTCTTGTAGTTCAAACAGGCAGTATACAAACAGACCATGAAACTCTTTGCTGAGCTGGAAATTAAAAGGAAAGAGAGAGAAGCCAAAGAGATGCACGAAAGGTACACATCTGTATATTACTCTATCTAATTACCTACTGTGGGTCTCTGGGGTTTCCCTAATGAAGAAATTAGATGGTATGTCATGGAAGAAACAAGTTATCTGAAACAGTTGAGCTTTTAAATCACCTGGGAAAGAAGTTTATTTGAGTTTTGGGAAATACTAAATGTATCTGCCCTTAGGGAGTTTATTTATACTCATGAGTGCTGTGTAATCTGAATTTCTGGGCCCTAACCTTTTGTGAGACTTCTACTTGGAGCTTTGGTGAATAGTATTGCATAATGAATCACTTACAAAATATTATTGTTCCCTTGGTAGTAGTTCCCTTGATCAGAGAAAATGAATCTAGTGTGTGGGTGTTGCTAAAGTCCTTGCATACTTGCCTCAGGGCCCAAGTTCAATCCCTAGTCCCATTACAAAATAAAAGAGGCAAAAGAAATACTGAGTTTAGTTTACTTCATTTCTGTATTCTGTATTATTTTTGTTGTTGTTTTGCAGCACTTAGGTTTGAACTCAGGGTCTTGTATTTACTTGCTCAGCTGGTACTCTACCACTTGAGACACACCTCCAACTTTGCTTTTTGCTAATTGTTTTGGAGTCTTTATCTGCTTGCTTAGGCTTTGAACCTTGATCTCATCTTCTGAGTAGCTATGATTTTAGGCATGAGCCACTGGTACTCAACTATATTTTGTACACTGACTGGTATTTAGCAATAAATAGATTTTCCTAGTTGAGTTAATATGCAGCCTTCCTACTTGTACTTTGCTATGTTGCTGAGGATACTGGTGGGTTAGTGACACTGGGTCTGGTCATCAAGGGAGATGGCATCCCAAACACTTCTTTTTTGGTGCCAGTTCGTGGGGTGTGAACTCTCAGGGCCTCGTGCTATATTGCTTGGCCTTTTCATTCAAGGCTAGCACTCTACCACTTGACACACAGCTCCCCTATACTTTTTTTTTTGTCGGTCATGGGGCTTGAACTCTGGGCCTGGGTGCTGTTC